CCATCACCATGTAAAGATAACTTCGATACAAGTAAGTTTGTCACTTCATTCGAAACTAATGACTCGTGATACTATTTGTTGGCGCAATAATGGGGGGATCAACGAGGGAGCATTTTTTGCACTTTGAGACATTCATTTTTATGAGCAACACACATTTATGAGAGACACACCGCATACTCACCCAAAATATTAAGATGATAGGTGTGTGGATTATTCCACTTATAAATGCTAAAGTCTTCACATTTTTAACCAATGTAATTTTTTTAAGGATCTTTCATAATGTGTAAACCTCGCACATGAACTCATTTCTTCTCATATTAAGATCTTTCGTGTATCCCACGTGATTACATAGTATTGAGTAAAAGTCATTGTGATATATGAGTCCATTACAATACTAACGATCCATAATCTCTCAAGCATGATTGTAATATGTGGGTTTTGGACTATGATATTGACCGTCCATAATCTCTGAAGCATGATGCATCTAAAAGTGAAGTGTTTAAGAAAATTGATCAATAGAAACCAAAAACATTAATATTTTTAAATAATTAGTTCTCTTTACTTTAATAAACTCTGATTGACGGTGAGGTTGGCAGACATATATTCTCTGCAATCACATAATTAGTGCAAATGGGTAAGACAAAAGGTTTTTAGAGAGATTAAATTAAGAGAGGCAATGACAAAAATGACTTTTAAAATAGACCAAGTGCAGGTGACTAGTTTACGAACGAAGACGATTCAAATTCGCTGCTGGCCATGCCAACCAGCATCTTGCTATTTCTGTCTTCTTTTTGCCTTTGTTTCCTTACGACCCAAAAAACTGTTTATGTCGTTCTTCTCGACTTAGTTTCAAAGGAGTAAAACCAGCCCATCAAACGTAATCTAGCTCTAATCATTCAAATATAATAAGACTTGACACCAAACACTCTGAATTAAAGTTTGTTTAATACGGTTTTCTTTTTATTTAAAATAGTTAACAAGTATACTTAAAAGTTAGTTAAAAAAAATTTAAAAAGATATATTAAAAAAAAGAATTTCTTTCTCCACTCTTACATTTCTTAGTCACTTCTAACGAAATTTCGCTTTTACTCTTAGAATTCAAAGATATATTTCTGAAATGCATCATATTTTATTTTTTCTGGGATATTTTCGAAGATGTATAGCTGAAACCCTTTTCTTTTAAAATCATGAGTATTTCGGAGATACATCTCTAAATTAGGTCATTTCTTTAACAAATACAAACAGTCACCCCCTCATTATCATTTCTTCCAACTTCTAACTATCAAACACCCCCGAAAATCTCCAAAATCTCTACTTTCAAAACTCATTCAAGTTTGTCTACTCATTAGCACTTGTTACAACTCACTCTAACTCTCAATTTCAACACATTTCAACAACTCTAAAAGCTTCAAATTTGAGTAAGTTCTCCGATCCCTTTTTATCCTTGCATTTCTATTTTAAGTTGCTTAGATTATGTATAATGAGTAAAAAGCTTACTTTAAGTGTACAAATTGGATTTTGGTGTAAAAATGGCACTGTTAGGTTGAAAAATTGGTTTTAGAAGTCGCAAGTTTTTTCAGAGATACATTTCCGAAAACCCCTCTGAGGAGTTTCGGAGATGCATCTCTGAAAAATGGCATGGGTTTATTTTATTTTTTTAATTTTCAAACATGTTCTTGTTCGTTCGCTTACTTTTGATTTGATTAATGATTATTTATTTTTCTAGAAAAATGACAGAGAACTCTAACAGATTGAGACTTGGTAGGCCTAACCAAACTGCATCCGCTCGACGAGAGAGAGCTGAGCAGACTACAAGGCAACGAGGATGTAGTCGGGTATCGTGGGAGGAAGTGTAGGGAACATCGACTTCTGTTCTGAGGAGTCACCTTTCACGTGTGTCCTCGTCGAGGGATTACAAGGAGGAGGAACCTGAACAGGTTCAGGTTTTGGAACCCAAATGGTTGATATTCCTGAAGCCGGGGAGGAGGATAACTCGGGTTTTACAGGAGGGTCGTCTGACACCTCCCTCTTGATCTATTACACCGATCATATGTCACTCGATATGTTTCGGAGGGACAAATATATTAATTTTTGTTACACTTTTCATTTTAATGATTTACACACTAATATGTTAAAATTGATATTAATTATTTATCTTTACAGGAATGACAGTCACTAAAGTGCGTGAATCACGCGTGGAAGATATTCGAGTTGCATCACCCTGGTGAGGATTGGTTTAGAGAGATCATTTTTGCCGCCAGACTTGTCGGCCTTTGTTGTTTCAGTTATAGCACCATCAACCATGGCACAAAGAGACGTCATATTTCCACTTGCCTGTTGAGAAGATAACGGTCACACTTGATGATGATGTCGCCTGTCTGCTACACCTTTTTATCAGATGGAGGTTACTTAACACTCTCGGGTCGATCATAGTGATACAATTGAATGGATGGTCGATTATCTGAGAGCTGGACCAGAAGAGCCGTTAAAGCAGTTTTGCTCCACCAATGAAACTCATTTCAAGTTCTCATTTCTTAAAGAGTTATATCACCAGCACCTCTCTGCGGCAGCTGATTCCCGTCAGAGGGAGACGACTTTTTTATTTTTTATCACTGTCAGTGTGCTCTGAGGTGTTACTTCATGTTCTTGGTTGGCACGTCCACTTTTGTGGACAAAAGCGCCAAATATTAAATTTAATTTACTATTAATAACTATAATTTATTCTTACATGAATCTTATTCGTTTTTCAGGGCTGGATCATTTCACACTTCCACCGCATACATGGTTTTGATTATGTTCTAGATTATATTGAGCACATGTCGAGGGTTGCTTAGTATGCCCTCATAGAGAGAATCAGATTGTGCTTCCGTTCTGGGTGTATCTGAATAGGACTGTCCCTGGTGACACGTCGTTCGATGATAACCGAGAGATTATCCAGTTTGACTTCATCTCAGTGTACTCTGGGTGGCTGACATGTGAGACTAACACTATGGTAAGGTATATGCCGGAGTGATGTATGCGGTAGTTTGGCTACGTACATACCATAAGATTCAGATCACCCTTTTGGGTTGCTCCCGACACTATTGTCCATCGGGAGCTCGACGACATATTTCAGGACAGAGCATCATTTAGTGTTAGAGTGAGTGTCATATGATGCAGACATCCAACCGTTGACATTGTGTTGAAGGATATGTGACATGGTTCTACACTATATCACATTCTATCATGACACTGGATGCTTCTGGACATCTACCTAGGTCAGCTCATGAGGAGATCTTAGAGAATCAGCAGATCGAGGATGACCATGTCATTGATCTCTTATCGATCTGTCAGTGGATACAGATGATTGGGCAGGAGGCTTTGAACATAGATATCATTGACTGAACGGTCCTGAGGCGGTGGCTATTGTAGAGCGGATAGTTGGGGAGACAGAGAGTGTGTTGGGATATAATAGACAGAGGAGGGGTCAGGGAGTGAAGATCAAGCATACGCAATAGACTATGCTTTTTTTTCAGAATAATTTATGAATAATTCTTGTATTATTTTTTTTTTATTTTAAACAATTCATTGTATTATCGATTTTCATTTGCATTTTTATTGTATTATTGTATTATCGTTTTTTATGTCTTATCATTTTTCATTTGCGTTTTTATTATCGTTTTCGTATAATTATTTATCAACACAATGATGATTTTAAAAAATAAATCACTATCCGGAGTTTCAGAGATGCATCTCTGAAAGTCTCAAGTCAGAGTGTTTTAGAAATACATCTCCGAAAACATCACTGCATGTTTAAATATAACATCCAAGTAACAGATTATTTTCGGAGATGCGTCTCCAAAAACCCTGACTTGAGATGCGTTCAGAAATGCATCTCCGAATGAGTATTTTTTATTTTTCAAAGCTTTTTCTCCACCCATAAAAAGTGTACCGAAAAAATTCAAAAAAAAAATCAATGATTGTCATTTTGTCAATCCAATCCAACTGGCACAAAAATTGAGTGATTAGAGTGGTATTATATTAACACAACCACCACTTACCATTACCATCACCGAGGGTAACAACTACTATCAATTAAACTTTATAAAACAGTTAATAAAACACTTTATATTATTAAACTTTATAAAACACTTAATAAAACACACTTCCAATACTTTATATTATTAAACCATTCTCTAACAAGTTAGCACTCTTTATACTTGAAGGTTTTACTAAGAGACAACCATGACTTTTATAATAACGAATTAATATAAATGAATAAGAGGGGTTGAAGGTAGACTGCTGCTACACTTATTGAGTTATAATTGTTAATAAGAGGGATTGAAGGTAGACTGCTGCTACAGTTTTGAGTTATAATCAAATTAGGATCCTCTATTCCAAGATAAAAATATACAATTTGGGGTTAACTGGTGAAAGACTTTTGCTACTATAATACAGAAGAATTAGACGCAGCAAAAAGGTGCATATTTTTGCCCTGATTTTTATCATTCAAATCCCATCCTAATTGATTATAAGAACCGTCTATTAAAATTTATTAATACAGGCCCCCCAAGACAATACACCGACACCTCATACGCCATATATAAAAAAAATAGTTATTGTAATAAACAGTTCTAGCTCTTGAAAAACTAGAGGAACCAATTCCTCGAGGGGACCCTATGTCCATTATTGAAATAGATATGCAGACTTCATCAAGTGAGTGTTTGGTAACCAGTTAGCATAGTAATTCTAGCGTGTCCTAATATGCTTATGAAACGTGATAATTGTGAAGCGATAAATTGGAAACAAATAGGCTATAAGACTTGAGTGGTGTTGGGTAGGTCAACAAAATATCAATCAGTTGAAGAACACAAGAAGGAATTATACATGAGAACTTAAAAGTACTTGTTAAAAATATGGCAATTGGGCAAAGCCAGCATAACTAATCAGTAAGAACACTCTTTTGATGCCCACAAAACCACTTGGAAATTCTTCCTACAATATGGCACAAAAATTGCAATTTAACGACCACGGCCACGACCGCGTCCACGCCCTCGACCGCGTCCACGCCCCAAAGGCTTCCCTGTAAATAAAATTTAAGCGTTAAAACTCAAAAACAATCCGATAGAAGCCAACCTGAATAAAAAATGCAGCCTATCAGATAATGTAAAATACCAGCAGTTGGCTTCTTAGGCTTGACCCTAGGTGCCTCTTCAACCAGCAAAGTCTCAAGATTCAAGCTGTCGGGAAGGATATAATAGCGAATGTTGTTACCCCTCACACTGAGGTGATCCAGAGTCACTGGGTTTTTCCCCTTCAGTGTTAGTTTAACTGTTTTCAAATGTGTGTTCATACTAATATCAACACCTGTAGCATAGCAACAAGTCAGGAACAGCATAACTAAAGCTTCAAAACACTAATGAATAATGATCTCAACCCAACAAAAAGGGCTCAAATACAACAAGTAGCAAGCTATTTATTTATTTGGAAACATTGCAATATCTGCCAATATATTTTTACTAATTAGTGTCGAGGAAAATATCTGGTGCTTGACTAATATTATATTTGGATCATAAGCATGCAGTATGACATGCAAAATCATAATACAAGACTCAATTCTTATAAGCCTCCATAAAAGATAATGGTTACACTTGAGCCTCAAACATCACAAACTTTAGCACAAGTTGAGATAAGATAACAGATGTAACATATAACTTGTAAACTTTCTATTTACCTAACAAAGTAAAACTAAACCCAGGTGTGTTGAATAGAAAATTCCACAGTACAGGTTGTGTGAAGTTTAATCAGAAGCTGTGGATGAGATTTGCGTTTCTGAAAAATTGGCTTAAATTAGGTAAAAGGAAATTGCTGAATGTTAAGAAAACCAAAATCACAAGAACGAAAACATAACAATGATTTGATTAGCTCGTTTGATATTTTCTATGCGCGGTTGCAGTCGAAGCAGAACTAGACGCTGCATCTTTAAAACAACAACACATTCCTTTTCTTGCAATTCATGAGATTGCTACGTAAGGAGTATCACTTCTCTTAGGAAAAATGGATAGGCTGATATGGGGATATTTACATTACAGTCAGTGTTGTTGATGGCGGTTTATGGCGGCAAGCCACAAATCTGACATAAACATATGTGGATGGCAAATGATGGAAGCATGGCAGACAAATAAAAAACTTATTTTAAATATACACACACAAAAACAGCAGAAATAAATAAAACACCAATTAAAAAAGAGAATTAATAACCAAATTAAGGTAATTTAAGATAATTTGAAAACTGGGTGACTAATGTCTAATTGTCTATTAACAATTAAAGACAGATTTGAGATAACTTAAAAACAGGAAAGGAAGTTTAAACAGAGCAAAAAAAAGAATGAAATAGTGGGGAAACAATCAGAAAACAAATATAAAAGGAAAATAAAAATAAATATAACAGGGGGAAAAAGAAGAAATGGAATACTTTTCAGAATACAAAAAATAGAAACCGAGAAAAGAAGAGAGAGAGATGGTCGTGCGCCTCAGCAGAGAAGAGAAAACAGAGAGTTTGGTAGCAATTGCATGCAATTGGGTGGTGGTGGTGGTCGCACAACAGTAGAGGAAAAGAACAGGGTAGAGTAGAGAGATAAGAGGGTAATAAAATGGCAAAGTATCCATTTTTGGGGTTTATTAGAATTATAACCTAGATAGAGAGATAAGAGTGTAAAATGGCAAAGTATCCATTTTTAGGCTTTATTAGAATTATAACCCACTTTGGGTCTGTGCTCGGGTCAGATCACACAACCCAACCCATATTGGTGGCAACTGCCATGAAGGCTTTACAAAAACCGCCACACAACTGCTTTTCAATGGCAGTTTGTTGAAATCCCACCACTGCAATCCACCATGAAAATGATTGACAGTGTCATACCCTTTAAAAGAAATGTCAATAAATCATTACTCTTGATAGACCGTGATTTCTTTTTTGCTTTTCACAGCACATGCTTTGGTAATTATAAATGTTAAGATAAAGCATCTCTACACATATATAAAATAAAGAGTTAAATTGATACTAAAGCAAGAACTTCTCCTTCAGTCCAATTGTTCAAAAACAAGGCTGGTTACTTCTCTATAACATTAAATGAAGAGTTTAATTGATATGCACCGTCAATGTAAAAAATAGTGCATCACAGCCATTCATATGTGTTACTTATATGTGTTACTTTAGAGGTGATTAAAATAGAAGTCAAACATCTTCAAATATGCAATCGGAAACAGACACCTTCAAAACAGTATTATTATTATTATGATATAAAATAAAAAATTTATCCAAAAGAAAAACAAAGCAAAAAACTTGAGCAGAAAGTTGAAGAGAAACCATAAATACAATCTTATCATATGGTAGCAAGTTAAAGTGCAAAGAGAACAGATATACTTCAAACATCATTTATTTATTCAAACAAAACGATATGTAACTAAGGGCCTGAATAAGGAAAAGAGAAACACAAAGGCCTGTTTACTTCACATGTTTCAGTTTGCATTCTCACTTCAATTAACAAACATGAGATAATAGTACAGAACTAATATTTCCCTCACCATTTTCTTTTATCATTATTCAAAACTGATCTAACATTTTAAGGAATTCTGAACATGCCAGATTCCAGAATAATGTTTTCATCGTTTTTTGAAAATTCATTCTTCCTAACTTGCCTTCCATGTTCTCTCTATCATAATTAGGTCAAACAGTAAACTACAAAGATTAAAATGGATCTTTACTCTTAGCACCTGAACTATCAGTTCGCAAATATTGTGTAACCATTATTTAAGCAAGAAACCTAATTTCAAACCAAAAAAATTAAGATTTCAATAATTGAGTAGGGTTTAACGGAATCTTGAATAGAAACAAGAAAATCGCCACATTTATCACATTCACAACTCTGCCATCGGGAATAACAACGCCAACATAGAAAATCATATGCAGCAGTTGATAAATAACAAATGTTTGAGCACGAAGGGTACTTAGGGTTTAGCGGCGTGAAGTGAAGAGGAATAAGGAAGGGTTAGTGGGAACCTGTGATGGTGCCATGAACAATTGTGCCGTTCTTGAGCTCGATTGATACGGTTTCGTTGTTCAATTTCATCAGAAACCTGTTTCCATTTTCAAGAAAACGATTTCAGGTTAAGAAAATTTTCACAAAAAAGGGGGAGATAGTGAGAATGGGAAGTTGAGGGAGAGGGAGAAAGAGAGACCTGACGAGCTTCATGGCGGCGGAAAATGAGCAGCAGCTTTGAAGTTCAACCACGGAGGGGCGGGAGAGTGACGCTAGTTGCTCTGAGCTCAAGTGTTTTTGGGCTCTCACTTTGCCCTTATGTATACCTTGTAATAATTTCCTCAACAAAAAGAAAACAATTGGCTATATGTGAGAATATGGCATGCCCTTCAGTCTAAATTTGCTCAATTTATTTACATTTTAGATTTAAATGTAGTTTTGATTTCTATTTTAATTGAGAAAATGGATGATGCATTTGGTATAAATTAATTTTATACTTTCAATCAATTATAATTATGTATTATAATATATTATTATTTTATTTTATTAAAATTTAATAATATGACATATTATTAATTTATTATTGAATTACAGTGTAAAATTATTTTATATTATCAGTGTATATTTATTAAATTCATTTTAATTTTTTTAACTTTTTAATTCTTTAAAAAAATCAATTTTGTAATCTATCTATTTAATGTTTTTTGTTTTTTTTTTATTTTGTATGTGTCACTCTATGTATGTATGACATTATACTGACAATATCACATCACGTCACATACTTTGTCACATTATAATTTTTAAATAAAAAATTAAATTAAATATTATATTTTATTATTTAATAAATAATTAATTATTATTATTTGATATTTAATATGTAATTAATAATTATTAGTTAATATATAATTTAAATGAAACTATGAAAATTTATAAAATAACAGATTTGAAGTTATTGACTTTGAACCTGCGCCCCCAACAATTAGGCATAATGGGATAGACAGGGCGGGTTTAAGTATACTCGGATGACAGCAACAATGAAATAGCAATGCAGGAAATAAGTTGTAACAACAATAACTCTAAAAGTTGTAGAATAATACCTTGCATAGACACCCCTAATGTGGAATCTTTATGCTGTAAACTAGTGAATATAGTGCTCAAAATAAGTTTGGATGATGAATTCTGACGTTACAGTCCCTATTTGTACTAATTTTTGCACCCCAAAGTCACTATAAATTGTGCAAAAGAAGTGGGAGAAAGCGGAGGAAGTACTGAAACAGAATGTTGAACATGGGCTAAAAATCTATAATTGGGCTTCATGAAGGGAATCATAATGCATGATGACATGTCTGTCATGACGTGCTGAGTAAGAGTCTGAGTCCATAAGCCATGACGGGCGTTAGCTAGGCTAACAATCTACCTGTCGTGGACTTTCTTCACGTGCTCTTCCTTTTCTTCTAAGTGGATGTCGATCTCTCTAGGATGAGGCAAGATGGGCATCACACCTTATGTACTAGTCATGACAGTCCGCAACTTGTCATTTTGTAATGTTTTTTCTATTTTTCATCGCAGACATTGTATATTGATCGAAACCTAAAATATGAAGTAAAAAAATTAACATAATGCAATAAAAGTACACCAAATGACACTAAAAACAAGTTAAAATTAAGCTAAATACATAGTGAAAAATACATGTTATCAACCCCCATACACACACTTAGATGTTGTTTGTCCTTAATCACCTTTGCTTGCATAATTAAAATGATAATGCAACAAAAATGTATACGAGAAAGATTTATGCAAACAACAGTGTTAATACTTGTACTGGTTAAAAATTACAAGTGTGCATGTTTCCATCGCAATGGCATAGATACTTATAGTCCTTAGTAGGGTTATAACATGATTCACTGGTGGGGGCTTACCCACGATGGTGAGAAGCCCTGTGTGGTGGTGTTTTGATGTGATTTAAGGGACCTACTCACCTGAGGTGAAAAGCTCTACGGATGACCGGATATGATTGGTAGCAAGCGTACAACCGTCATCGGTCGTGTGTTCCTCATACTTTACGAACATAAAATTCCCAAACTCTTTATCTTCTTTGGATTTCCTTATCCTTTGAGTTAATGATAGAGTAGGGATTTCTTGAAAAAAATTCTTAATGATCCAGATACTCACACGTCAGATGATATCTCTATAATTGTAAGTGACGTGATAGAAGACTTCCCCTTATGCAAATCAGGATTTGATAAATCAACCATTTTTGTGACAATAATAGGTTGTTCTATTTCATTTTATAGAGTGTCTTCTTATGACATGTTAGTTGGCTTTGGTTCCTCATACTCCCATGAGTTTAGAGTAGTAGTGATTTGGCCAATTTGAGTCTCCAGATTTTTTATATTCTCCCTTTGAGCTTGAAATTGCGACTTTGTTTCTTGCAAGGAAGTTTTCAAAATAAACTCCAATTGATTGGTTCCATTAGTTGTCACATTTTCATTAGGAGTAGAACTTGGGTGATTCATCCATCATTCACAAACAAAAACACAGTCATATGTCAGGACATTCAATGGTGCGATAACTGTCACATTAGGTGGAATCATAAAAGGAATTCATCATGTTATGTATTTCAGTCGGTTTAATAGTTAAGTAGTGGTTTTCCTGACCTCCATTCCAGATAAATCAACATGCACATGTGTTGTACCTCAAAATTTGCCCTCTCATTTCTCAAGGATTCTCTCACAAGATCTTTCATGACCCAAGCTTTCTGAAATATCTTGTGATGAAATATGTTACAAGCTTTCTGAAAAGTCTGAGAACTCCTTCAGATCATGCTGGAGCAGGGAGATTCGAAGATCAGAAGTTGGATATTTTGTTCTTAATATAAGTTACGTTTGTGTTGAACTTCTGATCCATATTCAAGCTAGGCTGCATAAATCTCGCGTTGCAGGCTTTCCTGTTTGTTAAATCTCATCATCATTTAATGCTCACACCCACTTTTGAGTCTTTATCCAAAGGATCTTCCCACGTGTGTCATAGAAGTACCACTGTTGTCCTTGGAAAGTAAACTTTTGTACAAAGCTTATGCTGGGACCATACCTTAATTTTGCTTATGAGGGTACTTTTCCATAAATCATGCTTACAAACTCAGATTAGGCATGACTAAAGCTGCTAACCACTCTACTTTGCCTTGAAACATACTTGTCTAAACTTGCTTCAAGAACAAGTCAGCACCATAGAATATGATGGTTGTACTTTTGACTTCTCCAAGCTTCTAAATCATTTGCCTATAAATTGAACTTCATTTGAAACTGTTAAAGAGGGGGATGATTTGAGAGAAAGCCCTGAAACCTTACTAAAAATTCCCAAGAACCTGAAACTGCAAACACAAACACGTAACCTGCTAGTTTCTGATTTTTGCATCCAAACTCTAATTTTTCTTGTGTGTTTCTTGATCAAATCATCCATACAGCTTCCAGAATACACATAGAAGCTTTCCCAACTTCTATTTTCAAACTGTAAAACAGTATTCACCACTCTCTGTTTCAAAAAATAAGAATTTTGCACCTTGACCGCTCCAGAACATTCCAGCCATCCATAACTCAAGTTGAGGGTTGCTTTAGCTTTCTGAGAACGTGAGAAAGCTGATCAAAACATCACAGCAGTCAGAATCAAGCTCTAGTACACAGAACAATTTCCAGCTGCAAGGTAAGTTCTTCTAACTTTTATCTCATTACTTAGACATTGTTAGGCTTGCATTTTCAAAGATACAATGTAGATATAATGGCTCTGATTATGTACATATTTATAGATTTAATTTATATGGCTTAAGTAGAGAGAATTTCATATCATAACTTCTTGAGGAAATTAGGGTTCATAATTAAGATTAGCAAAATTCATGCTTGCTGTTGGTTTATAGTTTTGATGTTTTGTATTTCTGAAACCTTGATGAAATTTTCCATAACTGTTATGTTTTGCATTTTCCATTTTTGTTGAGAAATGACTAAGTTGCAGATACACTGGTTGACATGGAGAAGGAGATGAAGTTCATCATAACTTACTTTGTAATATATGTTTATGTTTTTGCTTCTAATATCGGATGTATAGCCACCCTAGTGGTAGAGAGCGCGCGCGTAAGACATTAGTGTTAAGGGTCTTGAGTTCTATCCCCAGAAACACCTTTTTATGTTTATTTCCTAATATTTTTACCCCATTATTTGTCAAACAATAACTTTGGACCAGAACTTCTAGCCTTCTAGTAACACTAGAACTTTTAGGTTTCCAGTTGTATCAGAACTTCTTGACTCTCTCAACATCCAGAACTTCCAACTGTCCAGTAACACTAAAGTTTCTAGGCAATCAGAACTTTTAGGAAATCAGAATTTCTAAGCCTTCCTTTGTTCTCAGCGACCCCAGAACTTTAGCGCGTCCGGATCCAGAACTTCTGACCTTCCCTATTTCTGCTAATGTTTGTTTTCTGACTTGCAGCGCACCTGAGTCAGAACTTTTTCTCTCTCTTATTTCAGCAACGTGCCGATTCTGACCTTTATTCCCTTATTATTGTTATCATCACTTTTATTTTTCATTAATCAAAAACACCAAAAACACTTTATATTCACGTGCTTTATTTCTTTTAAAACAAAAAGACTAAAAATATTTTCTTAAGAAAATTTATTTCTTCTCTTAACAAAAACAAAATAAGCCTAGTTTACATTTCTTGTACATTATTTCAATATGGTTATAATAACTAGGACTTTAATTTCTTTTCCACCCCCCATTTGTAAATTTGTATACCCCATCCCCCTAATGATTGTAATAGCGTAGGATATTTACTTTCCGCAATTTATCGCTTTCATATGAATGTTAGTAATTAGGATTTTTATGGGAAGATAAAAATCAATCTTAGAGAATACTAATCCAAGATAAACCAAGCATGAAATACAAAAACTATTCACACATACACCCCTAAAGTTAACTCCACTTATTGCCTAAAAATGGTCATGTTATACATGTGAGATGTCTTAGCAAAACAATCAAAAATACAAGATCATAGTCCCTCGATGACGCTTCAAATGTTGCCTTTTAAATGATCTTAGTCCCCAAGAGAAATGCTAAGATATCTCACAACATTGCTATCATGACTATACGATGACCCACGCCCACTCCTTTACATCTAAAGATAAAGCTTCTTACCAATTAATGGTAAGATAGTAAAATCTAAA